TTTCCCACGCACTTCCACGACCGAATTTACTCTGCTAGTATCTCGCATTCTGACGAATTTTGATCTTGTGCTCTACATCGAATTGCTTTCCATCTCGAATTAAGTGGTTGCGCGTTATCGCAATCATGGCAGATTCCCAGTCAACGACCATGTCCGAGAAGCCGCGCACCAGCAGCATATCGCAAGCATCGGAGAGCTCACAAACAGCGGCCGAGTACGTGTCTTCCATGCTCTTGTCTGTATGGAGACTAAATCAATTCCGTCAGCTTTATCAAAGAGCAACTTAGCCTCGAGGCAGAAGCACGCGAGGCTCTCCCCTACGTCAGTACCCACATCCTCCGAATGCGCCTCGACTGACAAGAAACAGCAATTCGATACCTGCACACGCGACCTGGGTCCTCTACGACAGAGCCTTTACGCATGCCTCACCTGCAACCCCGCGCCCGCATCGTCTGCCCAGGAATACACTCCAGCAGGCGTCTGCTACTCATGCTCCATCTCCTGCCATGGCGAACACACCCTTGTTGAGCTTTTCAACAAGCGCAACTTCATATGCGACTGTGGAACTACCAGGATACCGGATATGACGCCATGCACGCTTCGTCTCAACGCAGAAACTGGACGTAAAGGCGATGTGACGGGCGAAGAGCCAGCCAAGACGAACAAGTATAACCAGAACTTCAGGAACAAGTTCTGTGGCTGCGGCGAGGACTATGATCCTCAACAAGAGAAGGGCACCATGTTCCAATGTCTCGGACTTGGGACTTGCGAGGAGGGCGGCTGTGGTGAAGACTGGTGGCACCCTGAATGCCTCGTAGGCTTCACTCGGGCGGAGTACAGCAAGATGATCGAGAAGCCCAAAGTGGAAGAGAAGAATGACAAAGTAGATGCGATGGAGACCGACAAGCCCGCAACAGATGACACCAAGACCAACGGGCACGCGGACGAGAATACGGCATCACTTCCAGCGAACATCGCAGCTGCAGTGACAAATGGCAATGGGGTTGATGGCAACGACATTGCAGCAGATGCTGGCGCAGAAGACGACGACGATCCGCCGCTACCCCCAGGCTTCCCTGAAGAAGACGACTTCGATCACTTCCTCTGCTACAAGTGCGTCGAGGCCAATCCATGGATCAAACAGTACGCTGGCTCAACTGGGTTCCTCGCCCCAGTCTACCACGACAAAGCCATGGCGCTTTCTCATGCCCAGAAGTCCACTGTCTCAGCCCCAGAGGACAGCAACGGCGACTCCAAGAAACGCAAAGCTTCCGACGAAGATGAAGAGCAGCAGACATCATCTCACCTGACAGCTCCGGCTCTGGCTAAGCGCCAAAAATCCGAAGATCCAAGCGGCACACTCTCCAGCATCCCCGAAGACACAACGACGCTGCCCATAACCCCCAAGAAGCCTGAAGCATCCGAAGCCCCAAAGCACGCTTCCCTCCCTCCTCTTCCCACAACCGCACTCACGACGCCCTTCTCCCTCTTCCTCAAGCCCGACTTCCGCGACCACCTCTGCCACTGCGACGCCTGCTACCCACACCTAAAAGCCCACCCGCAACTCCTCGAAGAGGAAGACACCTACGAGCCCCCTGTCTCCGAAGACGGCGAAGAAGGCGGGCAGTCCGTCGGTACAGGAAGTATTCTCGACCGTGGCGAAGCCGCCTTCAACAACATGGACCGCGTGCGTGCTATTCAAGGTGCAATGGCGTATGCGCATCTCAAAGACAAGGTCTCGGCGTTCTTGAAGCCGTTCGCTGAGTCCGGTCAGGCTGTTGGTGCGGAAGATGTCAAGGCGTACTTTGAGAAGCTGAGGGGTGATGCGCAGGGTATTCAGGAGGCTGCTGGCGATGCGAAGGCCAGTAGGGATGATGACGCAGATGGTGGTGCTGAGGGTGGTGGCAGGAAGGAACAGAGTGGGTATTAAGTGTAAACTCATCTACTCGAAGTGTTGAAGATGTGAAGACGAGATTTGTCGAGGTATGCATTGCACTCCATATGCAAATGATCTCCAGCTAGCCTGAAATTGGATATTGCACTTCATCGCAGCCAGTAGCCAAGCTATCTTCATGCTTCCGAATGTTTCATACGTCTTCTCAAGATTGACTTCACGATCACGGTTCTGCTACAAGAAATCAAGTGGTTCATGTATAACAAAATTAATTTTCAAATCTTGGGTATCAAATTAAAAGTACTTCCTCCCCCTTCCATGCAAACCAGTGCAACCCCCCTACTTCGCCATCAAAAGAAACTTTTCACACCTCCCATCCCCATTCCGCACTCTTCAAGCCGTCACAGTAACAGTAGCCGTCTCGGTAACCGTCTCCTTCCCAGTCGGCGACGCAGTAACAGTCACGGTGAATACCTGACTCGGTGGTATCGGCGTGATGATCAGCGGGCCTTCTGATGTCGTTGATGAAGGCACCGGCTCTGGCGGTGGTGGTGCCGATGATGGCATCTCTGTGGGTACTGGTGCTGGTGGTGTGGGTACGGCGTCGGATGTGGATGCTGTTGCGGATGCGGACACCGCTGGAGGTGGCGCGATTGAAGATGAAGAAGGTTGCACCGAAGATTCTGGAGGCGATGCCATGGAGGAAGAAGGTGATGATGGTTGTGCTGAGCTTGAGGGGGCGGGTGGCATGCTTGGTGCAGCGGAAGACGATAGCGTGGGAGTAGGCACAGGAATCTCCGATGTCAAAGATGATAGTGCGGGTTCGCTGGGTGTTGGCTCTGCTACTTCCGAAGACGAACTCGCGAGTACAGAGGATGAGGCTGCTGAGCTAGGTATGACTGGCTCTGGCGCAGCGGAAGAAACGGGTATCTCGGGTGCTCCACTTGGCTGCGGTGTGGCTGTCGGCATGACTGTAGTGTACGATGTTACGATCACTACAGGCGGGACTTGGAGGGATGCTGATGGGGATACTTCAGCCGGGGCGTTTGATGGAGCGGGCATAGGAGTGCCAGCCACTTCTGATGTTGAAGAGGCTAGTGGGGCAGACTCTTGAGCTTCAGTTGGCATGGCTGACTCTTGAGTAGATGTTTGAGGCGGCTGGGATGTCGCGTAGATAGTTGTGTATTGCGTGACGATGATGCGCGATGTTACATCGATGGTGTCTGAAGCAGTCTCTGAGGGGAGGATAGCTGTGGACGATCCGCTGGATACAGGGGCTGGGATTGCCAGAGAAGTTGAGTTGGCCAGAGGGGTGGAAGATGGCGCTTGTATGACTGACTCGATCACAGAAGATAGGCTGGTGATAATCGCACTGGTGGTGGTGTTGATAGATGGCGAGCCTGAGGGTGCCGCACCAGGATGAGTGAAGCCAGGCAAACCGCCAGTGGTAGATGCTTGGACCGCACTTGTCACCAGTGCAGTTGTGGTAGATGCTAGGACAGCACTTGAGGCCGATGCAATTGGAGTGGCAAGCGAGGTGGATGTCTCTTCGATGGGCGAGTAGGTGAACATGGGAGCCTTTCGACTTGTCTCGCTTGCTGTCTTGTTTTCCACAGCGGCAACCGAACTAGACAATGCTGACGATACCGGCACATCGCTGCTCTCTGTAGGCGTTGGCTTCGGACTTGGTGTTACTGAAGACGTAGCCACTGCGCTTGAAGTCTCATCTGGGGTTGGCAGAGGTGATGGCGTGATGTAGGAAGTAGAAAACACAGTCTGCGGATATTGTGTCACGAGTGGTTTCCCGTCAGGAAGAACGAACGTGATAGCTGGTGCTATTGAAGAGAAGATGGTTTGCTGGATGGGCTCCACTATGATAGCGGTCTCTGCTTCTGCAAGTTGCTGTCTTGATGTTGATGCGATTGTCGAAGTAGTGTTGGCGTAACTAGGAAAACTACACGAAGTCAGTATTTGTTTCTCAGTGTCTGCTTGAGTTCCTCACAGCTGTCTTCGGTGGTTCTTTGGAACTGGACCAGCGGTTATGGATGTAGAGCAAGCTGCCAGCAGCAGAATTGTGGAGAAGATAGCCATCGTCAAGACGACAAATTATTAAGAGTGGATGAAGGAGAAAGACGGCGCTTGCAGGCAGAGTAAGGAAGCGATGGACTGAAGGACGAAACTGAGATAGTGAACGATTAAGAGAAACGATCGACAAGGAGAAACAGACGGTAAGGAAAGACAGCTAGGAAAGAAACGAAAATCGTTCGTCTCAAGCAAACCACAGGCTAAACGTTCAGATGGCTACGGCGGTGTCTCATTGCTACGCGGGCTGGCATCGAGTTTTGAAGCTGCATTAGCCGCCTTGAGCACGGTTTGAGTATACAATGGAACAAAGAGTAGCACTGGCCCAGCATGGCTCCAGTTGCCTGGAATTTGGGCGTGTCACTCAAGCTCCATAGGAAAGTAGCGCTGGTAACTGGAGGAGTGGCTGTGGTGCTCTGATGCGCTGGGTACATGTTTCATCATCGGGCCAATGAGATGGCGGCATGGCCTCGTCGAGCCCACGACCTTGAAGCGCCTGGCCGAACGTCTGCTACCCGCGCAGAGCCTCCAGGTCTCCATATGCCAGAAATAACTCTTCGGAAGGAGGTTCGATTCCGCGATCCGAGTCTGTCAAGTGTTGCCGGTTTCCGCGTCTTCATGCAGTATGTGCTGTCTCTCGGCTGTTGGATGCATTAACACACCGGAACCCTGTGGGGATTTCTCCACAACACCAAGGTCGAGGTCACGATAGAAGACGACCTAGATGCCTGCAAGCATCAGCTATAGCTATCGACGATATTGTAGTGGATCGAGATGTGTTGGCGGGTTTGCACGTGCCCGATGTTCATTCGTCTGGGCGGTTGAGGGTCGCTCGGGGCAACAGGCGAGTTTCGACAAGGAAGGACAACACAGACCGCCATTTACGCTAGGACAGGCCCTTTGCATGTCGCCAGAGCCTCGAGTCTCGACGTCGCGTACGGTTGGTCTGGCATTCCTTTCTCTGTAGACGTAGAGTTTTTCGTATCTTTTCACCCTATCGCCATCCTCCTTGCCGGTCTGCACCATGAGCGTACGCGTCGTCGCGAGGATACGTCCTCTACTGAAACAGGAGCTCGACAAAGACACCATCGTCACCGCCGAGACATTGGAGGGCGACATCACCCCGGCGGTCGTGCGGATACCGAGTCCGAAGAACGAGGCCGAGTCCTTCAGCTTCCAGTTCAGCTCTGTGTACGAGCAGGACGCGACGCAGCAGCAGCTTTTCGATGCCGAGAGTGAGTTCGCGACGGACGCGTTTCGGAACTGAAGTTGACCCCAGACCAGTCGCGCCGACGGTGAAGCACCTGTTCAATGGCTTCGATCTATCTATCTTCGCACATGGCTGCACCGGCACCGGCAAGACGCATACGATGCGCGGAGGAAAGTCGCTGGCAGACCGCGGTGTCATCCCAAGACTGTTGAGCTCGATATACCGACGCTGCAAGAAGATCGAGAAGGACACGGCTGGTGCCACACACGTCGAGGTCGCCCTGGAATACTTCGAAATCTACTGCGATCGCGTCTACGATCTGTTTGAACCGCCGGAGAAGCGCACCCCGTCTGGCCTGCCTATCCGAGACAACAAAGGCAAGACTGTCGTCGTTGGTCTTACAGAGAAGCCATGCACAACGCTTAAGGAGTTTGAGCAGCTTTATGACCAGGCCAACATGAACAGGTCAACATCCGCGACTAAGGTGAGGCTTTACACGCGTTAGAGGTAAACATTGCTAATGATGCTGCAGCTCAACGCACATTCCTCCCGATCCCATGCCGTTCTCTGCGTGAAGATCACGCAAACTACCGAAGACACGGTTCGCGTCAGCCGAGCATCCTGCATTGATCTTGCAGGATCCGAAGACAACCGACGAACCGAGAATAACAAAGAGCGTTTGGTGGAGAGCTCGGCCATCAACAAGTCATTATTCGTACTTGCTCAATGCGTAGAAGCTATGAACAAGAAGGCTAGCCGGATCCCGTACCGCGAGTCCAAGATGACGAGAATCTTGTCGCTGGGTCAGAATAAGGGCTTAACTGTCATGATTCTGAACCTTGCGCCGACCCGCGCATACCACCTCGACACCATTAGTTCCTTGAACTTCGCTAGCCGGACGAAGAAGATCGAGATCGCAGAGGTGGAGAACGACCCCATGTACAGGACAGCAGTCAAACCATTGGCGATAACTAGTAGTGTTGGCGGAGCAACAATGTCACGGCAACCGCTACGATCCATCGCTGCCGCACATAACGCGAACATCCCGGAGCCAGAGAAGGGAAAGAAGGGAGAAAAGCCTACCAAGGCCTTCTCTGTCTACTCCGACGCTCGCAAGGCTGCTGCTGCTGCTCCTCGCGTTTCTAATCTTGCGCAGAACCAGGGAGTACGAAGAACTGAGGGTTCCAAACGAGCAGCTGAACCCAGCAATACATTCGCGACGCGACCAACGAAGGCATTCCGAACTGGGGATAGCACCTCACGGATACCGAACAGAGAGCCTGCTCTGACCAAGGCTTCGATTGAGGCTCTCATTGCACAGAAGGTGGACGAGAGGCTGGCAGAGAAGGCATTGCAAGACGCCGGTACCGCTGCGCCAGCGCTTTCTGCAGAGTTGCAGAAGCGCTTGGACGAGCTCGAGCACCGTATCGATGCACACGAAGAGGACGGAAAGTCGCAGGGTCTACAATTCCTGCTTATGGCGAAGCAACATCACATGCGCGGAGAGGATGCCAGCGCACTTAGAATGTACCACCTGGCCCAACCCTTCTTCCCCGGCAACGCAAAGCTAGAATCCAAGATGAAGGCCCTCGAAGACCGGATACGCGCAAAGAAGGAAGAAACCACCAAGCACGTCTCCGCCCCCGTAGAGCTACCCTCGCACACCGCCGCCGCAGCGCCCCCCTCGAACCTCCTCATGGCCCCCCTCAAAGCCGTCGAAAAGAAACAATCAAAGCCAAAGATGGTCTACAAAGACGACTCCTCAGACGACGAAGAATTCGCTCCCCCGCCCCCCTCCGACCACGAAGACTCCTACGCCTCCGACACCAGCTTCCAGTACACCAGCAAATCCAAGCCCGCCCGCAAACCGAAAAAGACGACTAAGAAACTGCCCATCTTCCGCGACGACACTGCCCCGACTACGACTACGACTCTGAACACCACCACCACCGCCGCCGCTGATCTCCCGTCTCACTCCGCCTCTGCCTCTGTCCAACAAACGCCTCGTACCAGCCACCTCCTCAAGATCATCAATTCACGCGACGTCAACCAGATCAAAGCGTTAAAGGGTGTCGGTGCAAAGAAAGCGGATAACATTGTGAACTGCCTGGTCGAAATGGATGATGCTGAGATTATGGATTTGGAGTCGCTGGCTATGCTGAAAGGTGTGGGGGGCAAGACAGTGGATAATATGAGACTGGGGTTGAGCGTTGTTAATACTTCTTATGATTTCTAGAGCTTCGGCTTGGTTGTTTGAATTTTTTGGGGGGAGAGTTAGAAAGCATGGTGTTTGCGGCGTTTGGGTTGTGGATGCGCGCTTCAGTGCGCGCGTAGATTATATTCACATTGCATAGAAAAGGCGTTTTGGGTTTGGCGGCTTAGGCTGTCTTGCATTTTGCATTTTGCATAGGTCGGTTCTTAGGAATTCAAGACTATTCGTTCATCACTAAGCGGTTACATCATTTTCAGACTTTGCTCGTGACGTGCGATGTTCTGCATCATTCATGCTATCATTATCATACAAAACCGTAACATTCAGTCTCAGCCCAGAAGAAAGAGCCCATAACCAGTCACTTAACCCCAGCTCCTACAAGAGTTCCTAAAAAGGCCAGACCCAGTCCTCCGTCTCCTTAGGATCCATACCCTCATGGTACGCATAGTTCTTCGCCTTGATCTGCTCATCAAGCAGCTTCTCCCTCGTCGCCGCACCCTTGTTACCCAAGCTGGGGATGTTATCCAGCGCATCAATCGCCAAGCTATAGCGATCAGTGCCGTTCCTGATAGCGAGCTCAAGAGGCGTGTCAATGTTACCCTTCTCCCTGTATCCGCGGACGAGCAGGTTCTGCTGGCCCTTGCGGCCATATGTCAGGCGGTGGATCAACCAAGGGTAAGAGTGGAAGTTGAAGATGCAAGGTACGTTGTCGGTGAAGATGGCCTTATACTCGTGTGCCTTGAGGCCGTGGGGATGCTGGTCCTCGTCGATGAGCTTGAAGAGGTCGACGACGTTTACGAAGCGGATCTTGAGGTCGGGGAGGTGCGTGCGGAGTAATGCTGTTGCGGCAAGAGATTCGTGAGTGGAAACGTCACCGCAGGATGCCATGACGATGTCGGGCTCTTGGTCTTTGTCGTTACTTGCCCATTCCCAGATGCCGACACCCTTTGTGCAATGGGCAATAGCTTGCTCCATGGTAAGGTACTGGAGGTGCTCCTGCTTGTCGGCAACGATGACGTTGACGTAGTTTTCGCTGCGGAGGCAGTGGTTCATCGTTGAGAGCAGGCAGTTGGCGTCGGGTGGGAGGTAGATGCGAACGACCTCAGGGCTCTTGTTCGCTACGACATCAAGGAAACCTGGATCTTGGTGTGTGAATCCGTTGTGGTCTTGTCGCCAGACAGTGGCAGTAAGCAGGATGTTGAGTGAAGCAATCTTCTGTCTCCATTCGACTTCGAGGCACTTCTCGATCCACTTGCAGTGCTGGTTAACCATGGAGTCGATGATGTGGATGAAAGGCTCGTAGCTGTTGAGCAGACCGTGACGTCCAGAGAGGATGTAACCCTCTAGCCAACCCTGAGCAAAGTTAGCATTGGAGTACCAAGCAATGGCGTGTGTCTTACCTCAACAGTGTGCTCTGAAAGCATCTCCATAACGCGTCCTGCGTAGGCTAGGTTGCCACCATCCTCGTCTTCGTCAAAGTACTCGCCCATCCAGACTTTCTTGCCTGCCTCGTACACCTTACCCAGCTTGTTGGATTCGGTCTCGTCGGGGCCAAAGAGACGGAAGTCTTTCTGGTTATCTCTGATGATATCGCGCAGGAAGGCGGCGCAGTTCGCCATGCTACCAACCTTGGCGACACCTCCCTTGGTGACCTCGATAGAGTAGTCACGGAAGTCGGGTACGTGAAGCTTGTGTCGGATCAGACCGCCATTTGTGACAGGGTTTGCGCTCATCCTCCTGTTGCCGGTTGGCGCCAACTCCCTAAGCTCGGGAATGAGCTTGCCGTCCTTGTCGAAGTGCTTCTCCGGCTCGTATGAGCGCATCCACTCTTCCAGAGTCTTGAGCTGAGACTTGTCCTTAAGAACCTTGGTGAGGGGTACTTGATGTGCGCGCCAGAAGCCCTCCAAGAAGTGATCTCCATCGACATGCCTGGGCGCTGTCCATCCCTTGGGTGTACGGAGCACGATCATGGGCCAGCGCGGCCTGAAGGCCTTGCCCGAGTCCCTGGCTTCCTTCTGGTATTCGCGGATCTTTGTGATGCATCGTTCCATCGTAGCAGCCATAGCTTGATGCATGGACGGGATATCGCTTCCCTCGACGAAGTAGGGTGTCCATCCGTAACCGACGAAGAGCGCTTCGAGCTCCTTACGACTTACGCGCGCGAGGACAGTGGGGTTGTTGATCTGTGTCTTGTCAGCAGGAATTCCTTCTGCAAAGTGCAGCGTCGTACCTTGTAACCGTTCAAGTGCAGTACAGGCAAGACCGCACCATCCGTGATCGGATTCAAGAACTTGGTCGAGTGCCAACTGGTAGCAAGCGGGCCGGTCTCAGATTCGCCGTCTCCGACCATTGTCAGAGCAATGAGATCTGGGTGATCGAACACTGTGCCGAAAGCGTGAGAGATGGAATAACCAAGCTCTCCACCCTCGTGCAAGCTACCAGGTGTCTCAGGTGTGGCATGCGATCCGATTCCACCGGGGAACGAGAAAGACTTGAAGAAGCGCCTCATGCCCTCCTCATCTTCGCTCTTGTCGGGGTAGACCTCAGAGTAAACTCCTTCCAGGAAACTGTTTGAGAGAACAGCGGGTGCGCCATGACCAGGGCCAGAGATGAAGATGGCGTCCAAATCATACTTCTTGATGAGACGGTTCTGTGCAAATCATTAGCTCTTTCATTTACCAGAGCCGCGTACGGTCATCCTTACCATGTGAATGTATGTGAAGCTCTGTCCAGCATCCGAACCCCAATGTCCCAGCAGGCGTCGTTTGAGGTGATCCAGAGTAAGCGGGTCGCGAAGCAGAGGATTTCTCTTCAGATATATCATGCCGAGGCACATGTATAGAGAAGCATGGAAGTAGTCAGTCATCTTCCGCACCTCATCCTCGCTGAGCGGGTGTTCAGTGATTGAGGACCTCGCGGGTCCATATGGCGAGATGCTAAGGTGTTCGACATCCTCGACGAGAGTGTCGGGATCTGCTGGAGCTTTTGCTACCATGGCATCCATGATTGCAGGTTGGTGGAAAGGTACAACCTTTCGTGCTTTAGGTAAGGTCTTGAATGGAGCTAAGTCTGAGGATGTAGCCAAGTAGTACAGATACGATGGAGGCTACAATGACCAATTACGAGTAGTGGAGGTGTGAAACGATTCAGAAATAAGAGCTTCACGTAAAGTTGGGACGAAGAGCGCCTTTAAGCAGTCGCGCGTCAGTATGCGCGATTGGAAGCTTGAAACCTGGCCAGCGGTACGACCGGAGACGTTCGCCTGGTCCATTGAGCTCTGCCATTGGTGCTCTGAGTGGGATCATGCTACTGCAGCGCGATACCATCATAGCGACAAATTCCTTTTGCAGGTGTTTGTCGGTTGCGTCATGGTTCGATGGACCGAGGTGGGGTCAGTCGAGAATCACGCTAGTGAGCGACGCGTTCCTGCCGCCAATTCTCACGATATGCCATCCATGGCGTGATATGTACCTGAGCTGACTGAGCGGGAGAATGGCAACCGTACGACCTGGATCTTTGCCGGTAAGCTGAATTCTACGGCTATGTTGATGCCACCAGTTCGTGTGCCAGTGCAGGACCTCTCAACATGATCTCAAGACGCCGGAAGACGGCGGACAGCATGCTTGCCAGCCTCCACTTCCCTTCCGACCCTGGCTTCGGTATCGGAACTTCATCCGAGCGGATAGTGATCTGCGCAAGCATCTGCAGCAAGCTTGCTGCTCAAATATTTACGTGCAGCCTGGGCAGACATTTGGGGTGAAGCAATGCTGGCAAACACGGCCGTCCTTGACATGTAAACTCCAAACAAGTGGATGTGTGAATGCATTCGATTGCTCTATATGTTCATGATCTATTCCTCAATGCATTCCATAATCTCCCTCCGCAGCAATGGTCCTCTGGCATTCAGCGAAAATAGCAGCCTGCCTGGCTACATCAGCCAGTCGCCCAACGACTTGCTTGTTACCATCCAGGAAACCGTATAACGCATACGGTATGTCCACCTCGTTGCAAAACTCCTGCACCAACTTTTGGGTCTGCCTCAGATTGTGCCGAGGGATTCTCGGATACAGGTGGTGGATAGCCTGGAACTGCAGGCCACCATGGAAGAAATCCAACCATTGCGGGCAGTCAACATCCATCGTCGTACGAAGCATCTTCTGCGCAAAGGATTCATGGATACCCAAATCTGCCGTACTCATAGCGAAATGAGACAGCGTGATCTGCACGTGGAGCGGCGACGTAACGGCGTGGGCAATCAAGACGAACCAGAAGCGGCTCCAGTTGTCGGGTATGGTCTTGTACACGACTCCATAGCCGAACCAAGTCCAGTAGAACGACATGCCCACCATCTCGAAATATCGGTGCCACCAAGCTGGTCCTTTCTTGGGACCCTTTCCAAGGAGCAAATACATCCAGGACAGTCTGTAAAGATTGAAACGCGCTACCATCATGATCGGGTAATATGTGTAGTGCTGTAGCGGGATCATGACCTTTGCGAATGCATCGTAGTCCATAGCCCACTCGTAAAAGGTTGTGGTTAGACTCTCCATGAACCGATGGGTGATGGCGAAGAAAGGGATGTATTGGATATCAGGATCGTGTTCGGGGTGGTTCGTAACGAGATGATGAACGTTGTGGCTGTATTTCCACCAACAAGCACTCAAACCGCCCAGGTAGGAGGCGATGAACATTGCGATGGTCGAGTCAGTCGTGAAGTCATGAGTGATGCCCATGTGTCCAGCATCGTGGACAGTGAAAGTGAGCTGGTGCCAAAAGCACGCAAGTGGTACGGCACTGGTGATGTACCACCCCTTCGTCAGCAGGAATATGAAAGCGGCCAAGAAAGACCCATAGCGTAGGCATTCGATGCCGTAAGCAGTGTAATTGCAGTCGTAGAGGCCTTCTTGCTTTATGCGCACTTGCAAGTCGCGGTATTTTTGAGTGATCCGATCTTGAGTGGCAGGGTCCAGAGACGGGTATTTGGCCTTGTCGAAATCCAGCTCTTCTTGAGTCCGCCTGTCAAGCACTGTCATCTTCGGAGTGACCCTGTCATCCAGCTCGACCGATGAGACGCTTGAGTTCGAGGAAGCCCTGGTGACATTGGCTCCGTTGCGTTTGCGGGCCGAAGCAGACGGCCGATCTGCTGGTTCGAAGAGCGGGCTGCTGTCTGCCGAAGAGGCTGAGCTAACAGTCTCCTGTTCTGAAGAGGAGCATGATTCCATGTACTCCTCCTCTGAGAGTCTATCCAGCTCTTCCTGTGTCCGGAACTTCCCTCCCTGTATCGGCGGCAGGAAGTTGGTCCATCGTCCTTCGATACGGCCGACTTGGTAGCGATTCATGAGCTCGAGCGTCTGCGCAGAGTGGAATCTGGGTGCAAAAGTCAGCATTAAGCTTTCCTGGGCACCACGGGACATCATACCGAGTGACTTCGTCTGTGGCATCTCGTCCCACCATGTGCGCGATGGCCTTGTCACCGCCTGGGTGATAGGGCAGCCATGCGTCCACCTTCAAGACCTTGCCGTCTACGATGACAATTGAGCGTCCATTGGCGATCTGGGCCTCGATCTCTCTTCGACTGAAGACTCTCGACTTCCTGTCTGCCTGGGCGGCCATGTTGCGGTACGGTGTGGTACACGAAGAGTGCACAAACGAGTGTCCAGGTGCGGGCTCAATTGACGAACGGAATTCAATGTACAGACAGTCAGACCACAGCTTCGCGGCGTCTCAGAAGGAGCTAGGCGTTGCGGTGAGCTGCGCCGGAGCCAGCCAGTGGAACAGGAGATCATGAGCTGATAAACTTCCGAAGCTTGCCCGCCAGGACCCTGCACGCCCCCACGTTCCTCGCCACCCCAGAGCCGCATCCAGCAACGACCTCACATGTCAAGCTGAGAGCGTGTGTAGCCCTGCAGCGCCGCATATGTAAGTAATAGGTCACCAGAATCTACACGTGAGCTTCGAGAAATTTCAAAGTCTTGGAGAGCATAAATGCGGCAGGTGCCCACTTGAGCTTGCTGTTGCGCGCTTTCTGTCGGCAAACTCCGACACTCCATCACCTTCTACTTCGTGACCTTTCGCTGCCAAGTGACATTTGCTGACTTCCACTCTCAATTTCATCCTTTCTCAGAACAAATCACATCACCCAAGGCGTCCCCCAGAATTCGCGATTCCAATCATGACCCGAGATATCAAGGACTTAGCGAAAGAGTGGCTGGAGCTCGACGAGGACAAATCAACGACAGATGAGATCTACAAGTTGTTGGTGGATGGCGATACCAATGAGCTCGAAAAGCGACTTCGACATCGTATTGCCTTCGGAACAGCTGGACTCAGGGGGCCCATGCAGGGCGGCTTCGCCTGCATGAACTCTCTGACAGTGATTCAAGCCTCCCAAGGACTAGCAGCGTACCTGCTGAAAACCGAGAAGAACGTTGAGAGAAGGGGTGTAGTCATTGGGCGAGATGCAAGGCACAACTCGGAAAAGTTCGCGAAACTCACCGCAGCTGCTTTTGTCGCAAAGGGCATCAAGGTGTGGTGGTATGAGGACCCGAGCCATACACCCATGGTTCCCTTTGGCGTGCGCGAACTCGACGCCGCTGCTGGCATCATGATTACTGCCAGTCATAACCCGGCTAAAGACAATGGATACAAGGTCTACTGGTCGAACGGGTGCCAGATCATCCCCCCACACGACAGCGGAATCGCCGAAGCTATCATGGAGAACCTCAAGCCTGTCACTTGGGACACGAGCGTGATAGAGTCTTCACTTCTGGTGGAAGGAAGTCTGGATCTGGTACAAGACAAGTACCACCAGGCCGTCCTGTGCGCTGCACAGCCCGATCATGTCAAGGTCAAGATGGACCCAGAGCTCAGATTCGTATACACGCCGATGCACGGTGTTGGACTTCCCGCGATGCAGCGATGCGCAGATACACTTGGTGTAGCCTCGCAGATGGCCGTGGTGGAGGCTCAAGCACAGCCAGACCCCGACTTTCCCACAGTAAAGTTCCCAAACCCTGAAGAGAAGGGTGCACTCGATCTGGCAATCGAAACGGCAGAGAAGTCCTCGATACGCCTGATTCTCGCCAGCGATCCCGATGCAGACCGACTTGCGGCAGCAGAGAAAGTAGGGGATAAATGGCATATCTTCAGCGGGAACCAACTCGGAGCGCTGCTCGGATCCTACCTCTTTGAACGCTACCCGGCGTCGAAACCGCGAGAAAAGCTTGCGATGCTGGCTTCTACTGTCAGCTCCAGAATGCTCGCAGCCTTAGCGAAGAAGGAAGGGTTCAAGTTTACCGAGACGTTGACTGGATTTAAGTGGCTCGGAAACGTAGCGCGACAACTCGATAGCGAGGGCTACGATGTCGTATACGCCTTTGAGGAAGCCTTGGGATACATGATCCCCCAAACAGTACACGACAAGGACTCTATCAGCGCAGCCGCAGTCTTCCTAACCGCGGCATCACATTGGTCCACCCAAGGCCTTACACCATATGCCAAGCTACAACAACTTTACCAATACCTTGGCTACTTCGAAGACGCAAACACATACCTCGTCTCCCCATCGCCATCCGTGACGACATCGGTGTTCACAGCCATCCGCGCACTGGGCAGCCCCCACCCAACGTCGATTGGCTCCCGTAAGATCGCGCGTTGGCGAGACCTGACCCTGGGCTATGACTCAAAGAGCAAGGACCACAAACCCGATCTACCGGTTGATGTCACTAGCCAGATGATCACCTGTGAGCTAGATGATGGCGCCGTATTTACAGTCAGAGGCAGCGGGACGGAACCGAAGATTAAGCTTTACATTGAGTGCCAGGGGAAGAGCAGTGAGGAGGCAAAGAAGGGCGCTAATGAGATTTTGGAGGATCTGCTGAGGGAGTGGTTTAAGCCTGAGGAGAATGGGTTGAGACTGGCTTAGGGCGGGAGGTGTTTTGACTTACAGGTACCGCTACTGTTACCACAGTTTGAGGTAATAGAGTATTCTCAAAACAACACAAGTATCTCAACGAGTGCTGAATTGATCGTGCGGTTGTTTAACGATTGTATGCTAGCAAGCACCATGTTCATGATTAGATGCTCTTACACGTATTGAGGAATTCATCATCATCGTCGTCTTCCCAACTTAACGTCGCTCCACAGCAGACTCACCTTCACCTAAAATCTGCGGGCTAAACCCTATCCTCCACGACCAACAGCACTTCTCTCACCTCACCTACCTTTACCCATCCACCTACCAACCTACCACCCAGCTCCCTTCTACTCAGTAATCCCCCCTCCATCTACAACAGCCCTCCTCCCCATCTACATCCACCACCCCACCCACGAAATGGCCACCCTATCAACATCACCCATCTCCCTCCTCTGGGTCTCCTGGACAGACATGGACAAACTCGTCGATGTCGAAACCTACGGCTTACCCCAAATCACCAAATGGACAAAGGCCCAAGTCAAATCCCAATTCGCCTCCAAAGACCTCGCGCCAATGTGCTGTCCCCACCTCCGCGCTCCCCGCATCCCAGAAGCTATTGTCGAAATCAATAATTCGCGGAATAACAACGTGGCGATGCAATACTACATGGCAAACAATAGGTTCTGGCTTGCGCACCGTATGTTATTGCAGGCGCAGTTTCAGTCGGCGGTAAGGTTTACGACGGATGAGTGTTATTATTTGCTGGAGGAAGGGGAGGCGGTTGTGGAGGTTAATGGTAGGCCGTTGACGGGCGTGGAGAAGGGAATGTTGGATGTTGAGCCGGGGGAGGTGGATATGAGGTATGTGTCGACTTGAATGCAAGGAATTTATGTGGGGGACGTACTGACTTTGGAAGTGAGTTGCAGCCGACGGAGATGAAGATGCATATCGGGGTGGCGATGAGGATTCCGCCGTATACAGTGCATTGCTTCAAGGTGAGGGCGGATTCGCTGGTTACGGCGGGGTGTATCGTGCCGAGGGGAAGGGAGGAGTAGGGCAGATGGGCTGGGCAGATGGGCTTTGGAGAGATGGTTTGGATGGTAGACTTGGACGTGGATGTTTAACGAGGACAGGCGGATAAGCACGACTAGATGGCCAGATGAAGTTTTGAGAATGACTGTGGATGGAGGATTTGGATGGAAAACGCGGATGACTAGATGCCAAATCTGGCTGGTGGTCTACCTGATTCGAAGGACCTTGACGTCAACTTCTTGACGTTGGATGCATGAGGCGAAACATGCAATCCAAGTACTATACCCAAAAGATAATCGATGGTACTGTTACACGATGAAGATGTACATGTGCATGCCAATCTTGGAAGAAACCATCATGACACCCACCCAACAGCGAGAATAGTGGGTGGGTGCGTAAGCGCTTCGCGGCCTCGACGTTTAGCATGTGAGATAGGCAAGTGGTGGTTGCACCCTACTCATCACAGGATGGGACGAGCGCTCGGCAGATAGTTGTATCTCCCAATCTTGAAACTCATATCCTCGACTAGCGCCCGCCTTCCCGATCGAGACCCTGTCAGATGCAGCGCAGACGCAGCGCTGACGACAACTAGTCACATACGGTTCTGCCTTGTACGGATGGGTCCATGGCGAGGCTGATGTCTGGGTCGAAACTTGTCGCCATGCGCAAGTCTCCATGGTCGGGCCTGTTGGACGTGCAGATGCAATGCAGCATGCGCGACAGTCCTCCGTGAGTACTGGCCAATGAGGAGCATGTCTAGTCGATTAGGAAGGCGCCATGTATAGTGTTGTTGCTGCCTTGACAAATGGGAGTTGAGCATGTAGAGCTGGCAAGAGCGCAGAAGAATCGCTTTTTCCCAGAAGTATCAGGGCTATGATGGAGGGTTTACTTTTTACCCTTCGCCGGCCGCACATGGCGTTTATAGCGTCGCTGGATTCGACGGCTGGGTAGCAAACGGCCAGGGTGTTCGGCCGGATGTCAGCTAAGCAGGGGAGGCGGAGGAATGCGTGCCCTCGGCCAATCACGTGGGCGTCGTTGTATCGATAGGCCTGTCCCGCGCGTACCCAGACTCCGGGGAAGTGTCTGAGGCAGCCGTGACTAAACCGCTGCGGGCGGCGTGCATGCGTGCTAAACAGTCACGGCCCAAAAGTATCCACGGCCTCTTTCCCCTCGTGTGCCCACCAGTTCTGTCGCGTCCGTCGCGTCCTCACAGCTGCGCCCTGCCCGTCTATAAAGACCCGTCGCTCCTCCCCTCGACGTCGCCTGGTTTTCGCAGTCTGCTCGCACATCCTTCGGTACGCCCTCGGCCCCACCAGAATTTCCCTTGGAAACGTGCTAACGGGATGAAAGCTTCAACAGGAACCGCGACATGTCTCTCTCCTAGACTATTCGCGTCCTATGCGGGATGCGCTGCCATCAACACCAATGGCGGGGTTCGGCGACCCAAATACTCATGTCACGCGACAAAGCCATGGTGCGCCGTCGCAACCAACGCCCTCGAGACGATCGCTGCCAGACGGGCCATGCAACTATCGCGACGCGCACATAGGACAGTGTGGATGTGACCAATTTTGGGACAAGCTCAGTGCCGAGCTGCACGATGAGAGCGCCGACCATCGGCCTAGCAGCGAGCGCTCCACGTGGTGTGTTTGCGGGCACCATGCCTGCTTCCATCTGAGGGCGTCGCGTGCGCCAGAGAGGCAGGCGCTGTCGATGAATCTCCCGCTGCCACCACTCTATGCGACAGGTGAAGAGCCGCGCCAATTGCAGGCAAACGCGCAATGCGACACGGGTGCTGCGATGCGACAGCTGGGGGACAACCTTCTGTCTGAAGGGGGTCAAGCCATATACAATGCGCGCATACATCAGCACTCCAGTCCTAGCCAGCGCCCCCAGCGACAGCCCTCTGAGACCAACTCGTTTGGTCGCTTGCTACAAAGTCAGGACACTCCATCACAAACCAGCACCAGCGGCCTTCCTGGACTTCCCTCCGTGTGCTTGCTATCTCATGAACGGCGCCCAGTAGCTAACAGCGAAGCTAGGTATGGCGTGAATCAGTCGCGCCAGACGGTGGCAGGTCTTGGTCTATCTATGATGAACTTGGAGAGCATGGCTCAGCTTAACCGTCAACAGTCGCCTACATCCACTATACCCGACGACATCAACATCGCCCATACCCCGCGAAAGCTACCCCACGAGCCCGTCGTCTCCCCAGGCAGGGCGAACATCACCAGCCCATCGCGCGGCATCCTCGAGCAGGTACTTGAGTTCAATCGTAACTTCCAGCCCGACGAGCCTGGCGATACCATACCCAACACCTACAACCCCGAGGAATACGTACAAAGCGCTACCGAGGTGGCTACTCCAAGCGTTGGGAACACTCCAGATCTGAGCGCTGCTGATCGGGCTGTACAGGACGGGAAGGACATGATTGACGCAATGAAGCGCATCACCTCGGAGATCCAACAGCAATCGACTAGCTCACCTGAGCGGCAGACATATGGCACCGTTCCCACCCAGCTCTTGCCGAAGAACGCTACTGCAGGACCACAGGAACAGCTGCAAACCCTCCTCCAATCGGCTCCACCACAAGGTCTCCAGAAGCTTGTCTCCTACCTTGCCCCTCTCCATAATCTGCTGAACTCAATACCCAATGTAGCCAAAACCATGCAGGAACTTGGTAGCCGCCTAGACTTGCTGGAGAATGGATCTTTCAACTACGTTCAGCCGGAAGATCTTAACAACACCTTGGAGATGTACGAGGGTAGGCTAATCGACGTGGAGCATCGCATGGATGAGCATGAACGCATGCATGAAGCTATGGACGAGCAAAGTAGCACCAGCTCCTTTAGCCGAGGGCGCATCGACAACGCCACCACGTCGTTTGGCTCCAATCACTCTGTTGATTCCAGCACTTCCTCCGCCCTTATCCTCGCGGCCATGGACCGCAAAGATACCGAGATGGAGCTCGATAACATCAAAGAGCGATTGGACGTACTTGAAGCTGCGGCGCCGCCCACATCCTTGCAACCTTGGGAAGTGGAAGTTGTCCTACTACCATGGGGTCCGGACTTGAAAGGCATCTGGTTCTCGCCTGATGAACCCATGCATGACATAGCGAAGACGACAACCCAGAACTCTGAAGAGTGGACCCAAGCTCATACCTTGAAGACTATAAAGAGCCTGCCATTCCTGGGGCGAGACTCAGATTCAAGCCCATACCCTGGTGCTCGCAACTCGGTCAGAGGATCTATACCTAGCCAGGCCGATAACGGTTGGAGTAGCCAAGACATCAGTAACTGGGCCTCAGGATCTACCGATGACTGGCTGTTTCCGAAAGCCTGTGGTAGCAACAATCTGGTCTACAAGCGCCTCCAAAGCAGAGGTTTTGTCCGGGACGTTACGTTCAAAGGTTCCAGCGCCAAAGATATTCAAGAAGCCTTGTCACATGCATTTTCTGATGTCTTCGATTACCTGCAGTACGACGACAGCGACGAAAACCCTATGATCTCTGCCTACCCAGGTCTTCGAGCGCCCTACATACCACTTCGAAAAGTACTCAAGGAGTCGCGACTACGTTTTCTTACGCCCGCCGAGATGTCCAGCAGTGCGCTCTGGAATGCTCAGTTTCTCTCAGCCGGTGTCATGATGAGAGTTTCCGGTGGAAAGAAAAGGCTTTACGTCACCGTCCGCGAAGCCTATACCCAACAAGTTGATCGCAATGAGTTCGTTGTCATGGAACAGTCATGGCCTGAGCTGCGCCAATTACCTCGCTATCAACCCGACCAAGACTCGCAGATGGAGGGCAACGACGAACAGTGCCAAGCGCATGTCCCTGAAGCGGATGCAAAAGAAGCATGTTGGCAGTTCGTCGAGACATACGATGCTCCGCCTGCTAGTGTGCATTCGTCCTTCGGAAGCAATCAGTCCGTCCAGCTCTCCATGCGCCCTGCTGGTCGAAATTGGCGACGGTCAATCACTCCCAACTCGATACTGAAGAACAAGCAACCCCAGCCCATCTCTCCACTAAGCGAGAATCATCCGCAACGTCCACTCTACTATCGCAACCGAACGGTATCTGCTTCAGTTGTCGATACCGTCACACCTCGTCAATCGAAACGCCGCTTCAACCCATCTATCGTTGAGCAATCCTCTGCCCCACAGCCGATCTCACGTGCACCCAGCCTACCATCCGTGAGGCTGAAGCGCCGTCGCGTAACGAACTCCTCTTCCCCACGACCCGAGGAAGCACACGTCACGATATGGAACGCAACCCCTCGGCAATCACGAGAGCCGCCTTCGCCTTTCTACTCCTCCCAACCTGCACTACCACGCTCGAACTCAGACGTCATGAGCAGACCGAGCCAGCGGTCCGTCGCCATAGCAGGTAAATCAACGCCTTTCGCCTACGCGACACCGCACTCAGGACCCTTCCCGGCTGGCCCTGGTTTCAACGCGTACAACAACGGCGGCGATACCGAACCAGACGATGACGACGACGCTCACGATAACGATGACGGGGAAAAGAGCTGGCGTGGCGTCACCGATGACGACAACGACCATGACAACGATAGCGCTTCAAGCTCAGTCCTAGACGCCGAAACGGGTGCGCAAGAGGGAGCTAGTTTTTCGGGCGATGACAGCGGGTTTGGCAGTGACAACGGGGAGGATAGTGATGCGCCGTCGGAAGACGAGGGGGAAGTGTATGCGCAGCGTCAACATGGTGAAGAGGACGAAGATGAAGATGACGAGGATGTTTTTGACTCCTTGCTTAGTATCATCGAGGCTTGATGTATACGGGTCGTCTCATACTCTAGGGTATATAGATGATTTGGACGTCCACATGGCGCCGCACTCCGAGAGCATGGAAATCTGGATATCAACTTCAAGCCAGGAGCACTTGAAGAGAAGTACACACACATATCAGCATAGGCGTTCTAAGGCAGGGAGATCTTGTACTATATTGCTTCCATCGTACTTGCAGCGTCTTGTTCTCCTTTTCGGAACCTTGTTCTTTCGGTTCATGGTTAGCAGGGTGTGTCTTTGTATACTACTAAAATTGGTCGTTGGGGTATGGTTATACGGTTAGCATAGTGGCGGTGGTTGTCTACACCTCTTCTCTCTACCCCTGAGGCGGTTGAGCTGGAAAATGAACATCTTAGATTTATTTCTGGTGCGTCAGTCACTTGCGCGTGGGAGCGGTGTCGATGACTTGTTTCTTGTTGGCTATCGCACGGGCGGTAAGTCAATCTACTGGCCTGTGGTACGAGTGAACGACTACACGTTTCGCACCATCTCGCTCGATGTATGCTTGCTTCGTCCGGCCCACCGCTAAGATCAAGCAGCGCCAGAACCAATCGTGATGCCAAAGGCCTCTTCCAAGACGGCATTCGGATCCCGTACGTCAAAGTAACCGATCCACACACCCTTCCCTTCTTCACCACCAAGAGCCAATCCATGGACAGCCTCCACGAGCCTTTCGCGAGTAGTATCGACGTCGAACCATCTCAACGCATGTTTCATCAAGCATACCCTTTTGAGGCCCGGAAGAAATACTCGCATGTGGGGTAGAGATTTAGGCCTTCTGCTGCCGCTGATTGTGAACGTATACTGTTCGCTGACGGATATAGTGGTGATGGCGCGGCGTTGATGGAGTGTGGTGTCTTCGGTGAAAAGTTGAAGTGCATCCACTGAGGTGAAGTGGAAAATGTTGGACTTGAACTGGAGGAGCGCGGTTTCCTGGTAGATTTGACGACAGGCCTGTGTGATGGTCAGGATTTGAGGCACACGCCGCTTCTCCCTAGTCTCCCTGGCTTCTTTGAGTTCTTTTTCCCTGCATTCAATGCGTTCTTTCTCATCGGCTTCGTTGAGGTATCTCCCATTGATCATGCGAGGGCCCATATATAGGCTCTTTCTCGGGGGATACGATTCGAGCGAGGTGGTGAGACTGAGCGTCAGTGTGAGCCCATCGTATAATCCTAAGGTGTCGGGGCGTTTGTGGTGCATTACGACGATGGTGTATCCTCCAAGCACGTGAGCAAAGATCCTATTGCGAAGCTCGCCAGGGAGACGGAGGAGCGGGGATTGGATTGAGTTGCGAGCGGTGCTAAGCGTGTTAGGGTCAAAGTCGATATTGTAATATGGGTCGAGCTCCGCGTCTTACATTTGTGATACCTTAGCGGATGGCTCAGCATTGATCGACGCCATGTTTTCGATAGATCTGCGCGTCATAGGTTGCGGGTGCAATGGAGGGTGTGAGGACTAAGGAAATATAAGTTAAGAGGCAGAAGGGAAGTGGCAAACAAACACAAGTCAGTGCGGGGATTGATGCGGTGTGTGACCGCGTGTTTGGTTAGCATGGTGTTACAGTCTTCTACCTGAGTTTATCGACGAGCATTCACGTACACAGACGTACACAGGTAACCTAGAAGTTGCATGGGTATCAAGAGATCCAAATTGCCTAATCCATCACTAGGTACCGTTGCAAGTTCTTGAGTAAAAGAAGCGCTAGACACCTGCCGTATCTATTTGATCTATTTGTAGTACGATATGAATGAAATGGTAGAAGGTTAGAACTTCGTTTGTCTCACCAGACGTTACTGCGAACGTGTTGCGCACCAATTATGGTGATACCACAGTGACGTCATGACATGTGAATGTGACAGCTGCATATGCTGGGCAACCTCTCAATTCCACGAGACGTCACTTATGGTAATAGAAACGCGTGTATATTAGAAAACAATGTTGTTTCATCTGGTTCCAAAGCAACCGTCCTTACTTATCTACATACCTACCTAGCATTATCCTTGTTACTCATTTCCGCTAGACATCCGATATGCAGTCTGTTCTCCACAAGGTCATCGGCCCTAAAGAGGTGCACCCAGAGAACCTCGAAGGTCGCGTCGCAGTAGTCACTGGCGGTGCTCTTGGAATTGGGTACGATCACTCCCTTCCTTTACACCAGATCTTCGCTGATGTTGTTGAAGATATGAAGTCAGCCGCGCGCTCGCCCTCGCAGGCGTGAAAGTCATCATGGTGAACCGCAAAGAAGAGCAAGGCGCCGATGCCATCTCAAGCATCAAGAAAGAGAAGGCCGACGCGCAGGTCGAATGGAAACACTGCGACATGGGCAGCCTCAAGGAAGTCAAAGAAGTCTTCTCCGAACTGCGCAACTCGCTCGACCGTCTCGACTTCCTCGTTCTTTCCGCCGGTATCAACACGAACTTTTACGGGGAAGACGCGGATGGAATCGACCGTCACTTCGGAGTGAACTTCCTCGGTCACTTTTACGTGTGCAACCAACTCTGGCCACTGCTCAGAAAGACGGGTAAGACGGGCACGAAGCCTGCGCCTAGGGTCGTCTTTGAGTCGAGTGAGATGCATCGTACTGCGCCGTCTGATGTACACTTCGCAAGCATGGATGAGATCAACGATAGCTCGATGGACCCCACGCGGTTGTATGGACGCACAAAGCTGGCCATGATTCTGTTCGCGAAGTATGGCCTGCGGGACCGCGTCATCAAACCTAATGGGGATAATGTATACGCTCTCTCCGTACACCCAGGCGCAGTCAACACGGCTATGCAGCAGCAGTGGAAGGACGCATACCCCGGTATTACTGGCAAGCTGTTGTCGAACGCTATGCTCTTTGCTGGCAGAGATGTGGAGCAGGGTTCGTACAGCGCGCTTTGGTGCTGTACGGCTGATGATGTTGAGGAGAAAGATATGAATGGGTTCTACTTCAACGACCCGGTAAGTTGTCTTTGGCTCTTGGTGAACATTCCACGTTGAACTTCGTGACTGACATGCGATGCAGGGCCAACCAGGCAAAGAGACATCTCAGGCTAGCGATGAGAACCTTGGTGCTGCGCTCTGGGATCTGAGCGAGCGGATCATCAAAGACAAACTTGGCCAAGATGCGCTAGTCGACTGGAGTGCGAAGGAGTAAGATCGTGCTCAGGTACAATGTGGGCAGGTTCAATTACGTCTAATCTCGTGCGTAATGCGTGACAGATTATCATTATGGGCGTGTAGAAAACATATCCTACAAAAGCTTACAACATCATGAGAATGGTACATGGTATAATAACAATGACTCCACCATCCTAAGGAACATAAGGCCAAACCCCGCGTTGATGAGTTATGATCCGCTGCGACCTTCCAAGTTCCCGTGAAGACATATAACGACGTAGACCTTGACAAGATGGAGACTCCCTAACCGCATCATCATCGAGCAGCTCTGGATGCTCGTCGACGACCATAAACACCGCCTCCCGCAGATCCGTCGCATGCTCCGGAAGGTCTTCGTAAACCCACAAGATGGCGTCAATCATCTCGGGATTGGGATGGTAGTATTCCGCTGCTTCCTGGAACCTCTTCGTACATAGCGCCTGTAGGTCGGGTACTAGGTACTTGTCTGCGACTTCCCAGAGTTGGAGGTGTAGCAACATGTGGCGGGGTGTTGGGGTGTGATAGAGCGCTCGGCCTGAACCCTTTGGCATGGCTTGAAGTATCCGCTGTCGTTTCTGGGCAATCTGACCTGATTGTAGGTCTGGTGATGTTTGAGGCTTCCGTTTCCGCGAGGAAGATGAAGATATAGCGCCGACGGCTGGTGATGCTTCTCCGTGGGGCAAGCGAGAACTGCCATCATTCTTGTGGGGGTCGTGTTGATCGTTCCCCTCGCAACTGGCATACAGGCTACTACCATAACTTCTGATCCATGTCAGATCCTTTGTGCGCGCATCGATCTTCCAGGAAGTGGCATCGTAGTCGCCCTCGTGAAGAAACTCAATCATGAGACTGACCATAGCAGGTTCGTCGTCATGAAGCGTTATGGTGCCTTCGGAAGCCTCCTTCCCAAATTCTATTGCGCGCCGAAAGTATTCAGAGTAGGGAGTAATGATGTCTAGATCGACAGTATAGCTATCAGCCCCGCAGGCTATAGTGAAGTTGGACTTCATGGCTCTGGAGTGTAGTCGTCTGGTGTAGGGGTTGAGGCTTGGGTAGGTGCGAATGGGCGAAGGTGGATTGGCAGTGATTGTTGGTAAAGTGGATAAATCTGGTTCTTGCTAGAGTGTTCATGTGCGTCAACAGGCGATGGCAGACAAATAGAGTATTCACTCTGTCGCTGACCACGTGAGCCGGTTGCCTTGGGATTTGACATGAACTCACGATGTGGCCACCTTGGATGAGAGAGGCCGCACATCGTGAGATCGAGTTTGCGATGCGGCCCTGAGCCAAAGGCCTGGGATATTTTCTGGGTTTTGCAGTTTCTGAGCCCCAACCCCGTGCAAAACGTCGTCCAGCTGCCGAGAAGCGACAAGAGGTGTGTTTCTCTCATAGATCATGAGGTATGGACGTTGAAGGAAAAGAGACGTGTGTAGCTACGAGTCTTTGCAAGGAGTCGAGCATCCAATGAAGTCGTGTAGACTGGATATATGCTCGCTGGCTAGAGAGAGAGAGTGCTTGGGAGCAATCACTTGGTCTTGTAATCTTTGCGTGTACCTCGACCTGATTGGAAGAGATGACTCTAACGTAGGACCTAGGTTTCAGCACCCAAGACCGAAAATCCCGGCAGGGGGAGGTCGTATTGACCAGCATGGCGTGGGTACGACATACTTCGTGCAGACAGCCTAAACATGCAACGAGGATGACCCGATAAGGCCGCAGCTGTGGTGTTCCGTGGCAGGTGGCACGGCCCGATCGGCTAGTAACGCGAGCATGTCCGAGAACGAGAAGACGTTCCGAAGGCACGGCGCGGTGGGGGCGCAGGGTCGTAAATGCTGTGTAAGACCGTCCGGTGGTGGGCTAGTGACCGGTGAGTAACCCCACCTCCGCTCCATGCAGTAGGCTACAGTATGCAGCCCTGTCGTGTTCGCCGCTAGGGCTGCAGCTTCGCCACACAGTTGCCACCGTCAGATTGGGGTCCGGATGACGATTCCGCGAGACGAATGGCTCAGCTTGAGCGTATTCTTGCAAGACTCCAGCTAAATTTTCGGGCCTTCTCCGTGGTTGGATTTTGCTGCCGCGCCTTTCTAAGCGCAATGACAGCCTTTTTATGCTCCAATTGATTCCTGTTCCGTTCCAGTATTGCTGACTCGTCGGCACCCATATCCAATATGATTGTGATGAAGTCTACTTGATTGTGTGCGACGGCATGATCTAACACGGAAGCAGGCTCGGTGTCTTTGGCGTTAATATCAGCGCCGAATACGAGGAGAATGCGAGCTAGATTGACATAGCCACGCTGCGCTGCGAGGTGAAGGGGAGCGCGTTGATGGTCCCCCAGAATGTTTACGAGGGTGGCAGGCTCTGGGTGCTGTTCCAACATCGAATGAATTTCTGCGACGAGGGCGGGGTCATCTTTGCACTGCACCACTTTGCGGTGGAAGACTTTCCAGTCTTCCTCTGGCTTTGAGATGCCGAAGGTTTGTTTAGAAAGAATGCTTTCGTCGTCGTCGGATTGTGTAAGAAGAGCGCTCGAAGAGGACGAGGAGACAGAGAAACGCGGTGGTGATGTCGGATTGGACGCTCTGCGGAGGTGTGCTGGATCTGAGATAGTGTCCGTATTTGAGAACCATCGATCAAGCGAGACGAGGTCATCTTGAGCTGGCCGATGCTCTTTGCTGTCATACGCTATGGGTTGCTGTCTAAGCGTCAGCACCATCTCTTCTGCTATACATTCCACGTATACTTACTGGTACTGAGCTCTCGGAAACGCGGCGAATATAGGAGCTGACTTCACTAGCATGGCGTTAGAGATGTGTTAGTCTGAGGAAGAACCGTACGAACAGATATGAGCAGGCTCCGGTGACAAGGACGATATCTCCGAGGTATCGTCGAATGTCATCTACCGCGAATTCGATATCCTTGGCTACTGCGTCCATTCTTCGTTTCACAGAGGCCTTGTCGAGAAAGGTCTCCGCACTTTTGCTTTGAAGTCCCAAATCCGCTATCTTGCGTTTGATCTCTCTAAGACGATCGCGACATAGTGCGATCTTCTCACGCACCAAGATTGACGGCTCGCTATTGCCATCGGGCTCAGCTTGATGGTACTTCGAGTTGAGTAGGCGTACAACTCCATGCAACTCTGTTATCCTTTCGAGGAGTCGGTCGACCAAGTCGTCGATTTCCCGCACCGCTTCGATATAGTTCTTGCATGCTCGGACGAGGGCCAGCCCAACCGTTGCGATGGTAATTATGCTGGAGACCGGCTCGGCCATGGTTACTTGGGTGCCGTGTGTGGTGGCCAGGCCCGCTTTAAAGTGGATCGTTGGAGGAAGTCAGGAGCCAGGTTGTGGTGTTACACAAGGTTATCGTCTGATAAGTGCAGGCGAAAGCGCAACGATCGTTACGGATGCGGCATCGATTTCATTTGAAGAAGGCCTCTTGCCAGGCGGCTCAAAGATCAAGAAGGGGCTTAGCAGAACGCGTGCAGCCTGTTCATGACCGAGAATGAGGACAGGTAATGTGAGAGGCACACGTGTGAAGTGAGTTGACGTAAGTGTCAAGTATTCCATGCAAGGGTTGGCATTCGTCCGATGCGTCAACGGGCTGGGGCAACTCCACACGTACCTGGGGAAAGCGGCTGGCGGGGAAAGCTCGTCGGCCACACTATTACAGATCAAGTAGGCAGCCGCTTATGTGCCGTCCCTTTCTCACCACACCACATATCGACTAGCCGAGCGGGCTGTGGGGACAGCTCATACGCCGAGGAACTCGTCATTCGGAAGCTCATTCCGAATACCTGTGATTTCACGTAAACTGGTTCATCGTCTCGAACGGGGTCCCGAAAGGCAGAACAGACGTCCCCGCGGTGGCGCGTCCTAGCTAGGCGATTTCAAAGCATCCTGCTCGGCAGAGGGCTGAGGAGAGAACTAAGTGTCACCAATAAATCCAAGGTTGCAAGGTGATGCAAGGGCTGACCCTAATGCCAATTGCGGCTTGGTGGCGTCTGAAGGCACTTAGCGATGTATGCGTTCATTGGCCGAAGTCTCCCAAGACCCATGTCGCCTGAAAAAGGGCAGCGATGCATGCGAAAAGCATTGGCGAGGCAACCAATCCACTGAGAAGAGGGCGATCATCAGAACGTGGACTTATTGCTCAGCCACCCGTCTAGGAGCATTTGTAGGTAATATGGCGGTGGAGGACCCCGACAAGACATGCCGTATGCACGACCAGGCTCGCCCTTGGAAAGGCCTGTCAGCCTTATAGGACTCAGCCCGATGCGGCAGGCAAACATATATTGTGATGCTGGGGCGCGTTGTCGCACATTGATTACGGCCCCAAAGCGACATACTCTTGCTCAAAGCGCTGGCCACTATGACTGAACCCCTTCAGCAAGCAACAGCTTTCGGAAGCACAGTAGGGATCCAAACCCTTGCGACGAATCAACAGCGCTCAACAGGCGCAAGACAAAAGTATGCGCATGAGTCGATGTTTACAGAATGTGACTGACGTGGAATAGTATAGATAATCCGTTTCTGACGTTCGATGACACGATTCCCGACCTCAAGACTCAACGTACTGAGCTAGAAGAGTATGTGTGGGAATTTGCTTCATTAGCCGGTCTCAAAGACCGCTATGAGTTGCTTCGATTTGGTGCTCGTCTCGCTCGAGACAAGTATGAGACTATGAGAAAATACGCGGATGAGCTCACAGATTCGGAAAAGCTGTTGTTGGAGAAGGAAAAGGATGAGAGTACAGGCTTTTGGAAGCAGTCCAAATTTCTGCGCGCGACAATCATGACCGCAAGTCTTGCGGGTATGATCCAAGGATGGACGCAAAGCGCCAATAATGGCACTGCTCATGGCATGCCAGACGAATTTGGCCTCTGCTATCGCAGGGATATGAACTGTCCTTCATCCGATCTTTGGACGTTTGGGATGCTGAACGCCATTCCGCTGCTTTCCGCAGGCCTCTTCGGTACACTCCTTGCAGATCCGCTGCAGGAGAACTTCTTAGGGAGGCGAGGTAGTGTGATGCTGTCTTGTGGCATCACAATAGCCTCGACAATCGGTGCATCACTTACGCACAATGTAGGCTCACTTGCAGCTTGCCGAGCTATCAACGGAATAGCTCTGGGTGCAAAAGCGTCGATAGGTCAGTGCAAGCTCTCGTTCATGCTTGCGTCGATGAATCTAACACCTTGTAGTTCCAATATATGCGGCTGAAATATCACCGGAGCATATACGTGGCGCTGTTCTGGCGAACTGGCAGCTTGCTGATGCAGCCGGTACGTCCGCTCCCCTTGATATGGTGTAATCGCTGATCCGATAGGCATCTTTCTCGGGTTTCTGGCAAACTTGCTGGTCGTTGTTTATGTGGAGAAAGCGGAATCAGCATGGCGCATTCTTACGAACACTGTGCTCATCCCCACAGTGCCATTGCTGGTGATGATATACTTGATGCCGGAATCGCCACGATATTTGATGAAGCATGGAAAATACCCCAAAGCACTCGATGCCTTCGAACAGGTCCAGACCACACGTTTACTAGCAAGTCGGGATTTCATGTATGCGCATGCTCAGCTGGATTTCGAAAGCCGACTCTTAAAAGAGGAGACAAATGAGCTTGGCACCCTGGCCGATCGCGTAGATGTTAGCTTGCCGAGCTTTTCTGGAGAGCCATCTTCGCCATCGCCAAATCGCGCACGATTAGAAAGGGGTGCTGAACACGGAGCCGTATCGCCAGGTCGATTCGCGCTAGATCCCAATGTCGAGGGAACGAAGTTAGGGGCAACAGCGGTCCGGAACGATAGCCAGCACCAAGTCAGGTCGCAGCCCGAGCAAAACGAAAACAGCAACATTGAACTCGCGACATTGAATAGGAGGTGGAGTGACATCTCCAGCCTAAACTTCGAGGTTGGGGTGAAACGAACGAAGAAGAACAACCCGTATTCGTACAACATCGGTGTCAACGGCTACTACAAGCGTCTGAGGGAGTTATGGTCCAATAAGCGGTGTCGACGAGCATTGCTGTGCGCTTCCGTGTCCATGATCACCCAGACGCTGACAGGCGTCAATACGATCGCCTTCTTAGGTACGATAGTGTGGCCCAACGCCGGAACAAACAGTGATCGTACATCCGCGATAATAGGTCTGGCCTTTGGAGCAGCGAATTACATGTTCGGGCTTCCTGCTTATTGGTCCTCGGATCGATTGGGACGTTCCGTCATGCTTTTGCTCGGCCTGCCAAACATGGCATGGTCAATCCTAGTCTTTGCCTTCCTCTTCAAAATCACCGACACGTCCGTCCAGATACCATTGGTCAGCATCTTCGCGGTCATCTTCGTTGCCTTTTATGCCCCGACAGCCGGTACGTCTCCATTCTCGATCGCAGCAGAGGTCTTTCCTCTCGTATCGAGGGAGGCTGGCATGGCTGTTTCCGTCGCGGTCAACCTTCTGGGTGCTGGCGTATTGGTCCTAGTCTTCCCATTCCTGCAGGACAGCATTGGGCCAACAGCTGCATTCTCTATCTTCGCAGGCTTGAATATGGTGGCGTTTGTACTGGTGTATTTGTTCGTTCCAGAGACGAGGATGCGGACTTTAGAAGAGCTGCAGTATACGTTCGATTTACCAACGGGATGGCATGTCGCGTATCGTGTGGGGTACATACGACAGCATGTCTGGGCGAATTGGTGGAAGTACTTGACTCGCAAGGAGGTTCAGCCGCCGGTTCCGTTCTACGAATGGGCGCGAGTGACGTATAGAGAGATGGAAGGTGCCAGCTGAGTTGTGGACATCTTCAGTGGAGGCGGACCGCTGAAACGGCCCGGGGAGGTTTGAGCGCGACTGGACGCGATCCCCTTCCGCCAAGCAAATGACGTATCAAGGCTAGCGCGAAAGACCCCGACCACCAACCTTGGAAGTGCACGCCCGCATCTGGGGATTGAATCAGGAAGTCAAACACCGTCATCTATCACAATATAGTTCCGCAATTTTGTAGGCTCCAACATGATTCCTGTGTGTTGGTTGAGTTTTCCAGTCCGTATGTCTGTTCAAAGTGGGAGCTTCTATTACCTCTTGACGGTGAAGCTGCGCTGAGCGTTAGAGACGAGCGTTTGTCCGATTTTCTCTCAGTAATCGCCAAGATTCTTTACGCCTTCACCCTGATTGAAACGACTCATGGCTAGCGCCTTTACGAAATAAACGCGGCGCACGCGATAAGATCTATCCTCTACCTCCACAACTCACGACTACCCAGGTAACAACAACCTCGCGGTACGGCACCACCTGAAGCAATCACGATGACGAGTTCATTGGAGGAGATGTAAGTTAGCACGCTAAAGTCCTGTATCTTACTAACAAGATGCAGCACCTTGCGCAATATGACCGAGTCGCCTCTACTCCGACTGCCTGGCGAGCTGCGCAATCGTATCTACGAGTTAGCTGTTGGCGGAAACATCATCGTCGTAACAAAATCCTACACGCGACCGGGAAAAACGTCGGTCTGTCTCACTTCCGCTAATACTTCTGGACCGGACGCAAAAAGCGCCCAGGCGAGCATTCGTGCACCTGTATCGGGAATCTTTACCATCGGCCTCGTATGCCGCCAGCTGCACCGTGAAACAGCCCTCAGTCAGTACGCGAAGAACCTCTTCCACTTCGACAACATGTACCATGGCCGAGATTTTGTGGACAGCCTTAGTAGTGCACAGCGAGCGCTGCTCACGTCTATATCCGTCAACGTCGAGGATTACTTCAGGTCGGATTTTTCATGGAACTTTATATCAAGCACGTGGACGTGGAGGTCCGTTGTAGACACCGACACCGAAATATTCTTGCCCCAGCTAGAGAGTGTCTACATCAGTGCACAGGACCCGAAAGGCTCTTTTCTGGCGGCTGAGGAAGAGGTACTTCACACAGTTGGGCGAAAGCTGAAGATCGGTACATCACGCAAGGAAGGTGTCTCGCTTATAATTCTTAATGTGTTCCGAGGAACGGAGAACCGAGATCAAGCAAAGATGATCAAACTGAGTTGGAACGGTGAGGCGTTCGTCTGATTGGTGTTTCTTTTCTGGCCCGACATGGCGAGACCCAGTCGCTGCAGATAGGGTATGCATTACAGATGGTCATCGGTTTATCTCCTACATATGAAATGCCCTCGAGATAGCCAGGCTGACAATGGGATAACTCATGATTCGATCATGAGAACCATGCTTAATAATCTGTTCTCTGATGATCCCACGCTTCCCTTTCCATTCCACTTCCCATCCACCAGCACCTAGAGGCGTCTTCTCCTTCGACTTAAGCTTCTCTAGCTCTTCGAAAGTACTGGGAGAGGACGAATCAAACATTGCGTTAACAGCATGCCAGAAGAGGACATCGGAGTGACTCCATGGGATATCGTAGTCATCTTCGGCGTGTATCAGAGTAATATCATAGTTTCGCTGCTTGCTGTTGACGTTGACACTGTCCAGCCGGTGAATCAGTGCTGCAAGTTTCTCCTTGGATGGGAATTTGGTAATGATAAATCGGTTCAGCAGGTTCATAAGCGGTGGAAATATTGCGAGAGGGGAGAGCAGCGGAAGGGTGCGAGCAACCTTGTACGTCCTTGTAAGCGACTCCACATCGGCGAATGGGGCGACTAAGACGACTCCCGCTAGAACAACAGGAGTCGGCTGTGAAGCCAAGTAATGAGTGAGCGACAAAGCTACGGCAGTACCCATGGATTGGGCAAAGACCACAGTCCTCTCTGGTGGTATACCCGCAGTATCCGTTACGAACTTGAGCAAGGTAAGCGCATCAGTAAGAAGACCAGCTTCCGAAGGCCACCCAGAACTGGTACCGAAACCACGATAATCGATAGCCAGGACATGTACGTTAGTCGATGTCGCGCTCATCGCCCTGTAACTTTGTGGCCGCCACCCAGATCCCAGTGTGCCTGCTGCACCATGCAGATAGATAACTACTTGCGCAGTAGGATCTTTCAGTAAACGGAAGGAGATTCGGTCTTCGACATTCGCGCAGAGTCCGACTGGCTCCTCGCGGAGTTGGGTTTGATGTTGGCGGTATGTCTCCAGTGGCAGAACGTGCCAAGCATGTAGAGTCTCACCATCTGGCGTCTTGAGATGGAAGGGTGTGACTTGGTTGCGCAGGAAGCCCCATTGCTCGGGTACGTTGATATCCTGATTCCAGGTTCGGGTTACTCGGTGCAGGAAGATGACGTGATCCTGTAGAGTCGGGATCGTGAGTAGCAAGACGAAGCCGAGATAGAACCCGATGAGACCAATGAAGATTGAGAGAAGAAGCGTAAGCATGCTGGTGGCTATATACCTGGTCTATCTCGAGCTTGAATAGTCCAGTCGCGGCCAGGACGATTTGAGATTTGCAGTAGCGCTAACCGATGTGGGGTAAGTGGAGCATGATGAACAACGCCACATGTTCGGACGTGTGCAATTCTTCATGTCATATACACTTCTCCAATGCTAGAAAGTTCACAATGTTGGTGTTGAGGACGCGTTGCAGTTACGCGCAATTGTCGTGATTTTGGAGAATGACAAATTAGGCCTAGCTCAGGGTCATTGCATGTGCCGAGGTTTAGGCCAAGCACAAACCTCGCAAACGCGTCAACTCCGCGCCACGTCCTCTCTCGCGCTCTAAGTAAGGTGACTTCAGAAGCCCTACACTATACCTAGGCACTATGGTTGTGACAGCTTTCTGATACCTGCCATGCTATCTAACTCATGCCAAGACTGATATAAGATCAGAGGCATGTGTGGACAAACTCTCACGGACGCGCTGCGAATGGCTGGTATGGCAGTATCACTTCAGACATCGCTAACGACCTCGCAGCTCCGGCGCGTAATTCCATCCAAGCACAATCGTCTACGATATCAGTTTGACTCTAGACTCGGTCCACGCAACGCTAGCACATCCAATCATATCGCACACGGCATGTAGGCTGACTTCCAGGAAGAGGAAGGCACCACTGATGGCGACTCTGGCGACTGGACCGATCCCGAAACCGGTAACAGCGTAGAAGATGATGACAGCACATGCGAAAATGTTTCCTAATTCGTCATGGGCCCTGGTAATACGGTGAATCAGGAAGTTTGACATTGGAAGAAGATATATCTTCGGTGCTTATACAGTATGCACGGGCGCAGCACGCATGTATCAAGCTTTTACGGGAACCGATATGCGTCCCTTACCGATGAGGATGTTATGCGCATGCTCAACCCGAGAGCGTGGAACGTCATTTGAGCTGACCTCCCTACTTTGCTGCTTTTATTCTTGCAGTGTACGAATGTCCTCACTATTCACTACTCTTTACGTAGCTGAATCGGCCCTCGAACTAATTGAGTATATCTAATGTGGATGAGTTGCGAGGGAAAATGTGTGAGCAGCCACATGATCGGTGACCGTATTCCAAAAAAAGATTAGGCTGATGGTTGCTGACCACACCTGTGGGAGTGGCTTTACTATGTCGCTTCGAGTGTATATATGGATATTTGCATCAGCCAGCGATGGAAGGTGCGAAGTCCAACCTCAAGTTCGAGATACAGCCACAGTCGACATGGGCTACTCTGCACCGAACATGCAGCTGCCAGACGCAGCGACCATCCTCCAGTCCGTTAACGCTACGATAGATCATACAGCCTATTCGTTCCCTACTTCTGGATATCAAGTCTTCCTGTCTGTACTTCGCACCCTCCTTATACTTCTGTTTCTCTTTGTTACATACCATTGCTTTCACTACTTCACATGCGAACTTCCGCCGTTTGGCTCCGGTCTTAAAGCTCTCCCGGGTCCGCGCTCAACACTCCCTTACTTAGGTCGCGTTCACGATGTCGACCGCATGCAGGCTTGGACCTCAATGCACAAGTTCAGCAAGCAGTATGGCGGGCTGTTCGCATGTACACTTGGGGGCGAAACGCACATCTGGGTCGCAAGAGAAGATGTTGCGCAAGACTTAATGGTCAAGAATGCTGAGCTGAGTTCGGCGAGGGCAGATATTGGGTCTTTCCCAGGGGTGACACAGGACTTTTTGTACTTGCCTCTGCTCGGGTACACAGGTATGTCTGCCATTACCAAGGCTCTGATATGAGTTTGTCACTGACTTCCGACTTACAGATCACTTCCACCGTCAAAAACGATTCGCAAACGCAATGATGACCCGCGCAGCTAAGAACCAATACTACGGTCACATCCAGCTTGAGATGAAGCGCTTCATGCACGAGCTCTCCCGAAAGCCAGAAGACTTCTTCACTCTTACCCATCTCTTCTGCGCTAGAATCAGCTCTCGCCTCGCGTATGGCACCGCCGATCGTTCGATAGAGCACATGATCAACGCCGGCGCCTTCATCTCCCAACTTGGCCCTTCTGGGCCCATACCTAATCTCATGCCGTTCCTAAGATACTTCCCTGAGTGGATGGCGCCGGGCCAGCGCGGAGTGCGAGAACGCCGAGAAAAGGAAGCAGCGCTGTGGAAAGACACATTCGATCAGGCAAAAGCATCCAAAGATAAGACAATTTACACGACCGCAAGCTTGGCTACCAAAGCTATTGGCTCCGATACCGACCTTCTTTTCGCTGATGAGGAAGAGGCCATAGCTGCAGTTGGTATGCTCTGCACTGTCGCGATCTATACTATTGGCGGACCGGCGACGCTGTTCGTCATGGCTATGGTTCTGCATCCGGAATGGCAAGAGAAAGTACGCCAGCAGATCGATGAGGTAGTTGGGAAGGATGAGATGGTGGACTTGAAGCACAGTCCCCAGTTACCGATCTTGAGGGCAGCTATCAAGGAATGTGTGAGGTGGAAGAGTACTGTTCCACTCGGTAAGTTCCTTCTTCCCCCCTATACTCAATCCTCGATCTTTCCCAGGTTCCATACAGCATGAAGCTGACCAGTCTTCAGGCGTCCCTCGCCTACTCTCGAAGAACTACACCCACTCCGGCTACCACTTCCCCCGCGGCGCCGTCGTCCACGTCCTCGACATCGCCATGTCTCAAAACCCCACCACCTACTCCTCTTCCCCTCCCTCCGTCTACGACCCCTCCCGCTGGCTCGACCCTTCGTCCCCCAATTTCAAGTCTCCACTGACCGAACACCCACGCTTGAAGGGCCATCATATCTTTGGGAGGGGCAAGAGAGTGTGTCCCGGCCAGGATCTTGCGGAGGCGGAGCTGTTGGTCTTTTGTGGAAACGTGGTCAAGAATTTCGAGCTCGAGAAGAAAGACGGAATAGAGATTGGGCCGGACCAATGGACACCGCATGTCATCGGGGGACCGTTGCCGTTCCCCTGCGAGATCAAGGTGAGAGATGATCAGAAGGCGAGAGTGGTTGGGGAGTGGTGGGAAGATGTCAGAGGGGGGTAAAGAGGTTTTCGGTGTTGGAAGCAGATACGCGTGCTGTTCTTTCGATATACCATACAATCTTACACTTCCCTATGATTCAACCAGTGACAATGCCCCACGTTAACCAAGTGTCAATCGTCTTCTTTCTCTCCAGCAGCCTCTCCTCTTCGCTCTCATGATCGCATGCTGCAACTCCTCTCCTCTCCTTTGATTCTGCTGTCTCCCTTAGTAGTGTGCTGCCACCATCACTCGAAAGCTCATATGAACGAAACTCCGCGTTCGACCATCCGGTGGCTAGTCATAGATGATCAGCAATCGTCAAAATGATGCAGCGATCAAGAGACTGCAAACCTTGTGCGCTCAACGAGCCCTTCCAGTCATCGGTCAGGAAGTGTAGGAAGCAGCCATGCGAGACGACAACAATGTTGTTCTCCGGTCTGTCTCGAAGCCATTGCCGAGCGCTTTCGGCTCTAGCGAGAAGTGAGGCACTCGTGAGCGATGCGTCAGTCTGCCATACTTGGTAAGCCTACCCTGTACTGATACTTTTTGGAATGCTGGATCAAGATTTGATGGTCCATCTGCCTACTTTCACTTGCCAGCCCTCTTCTACGAGGCCGAAGTCCGCTACGGTATTCTCAAACTCTTCCTGAAGAACTTCGACATCGCTGCCGGTGTCGCAAGGCAGATTGCTCGCTTCTTGCAACAAGGGTAAGGCCAGGACCTGGACACCCCGTGATACTTCTGGTTCGAATCCTAACAACGCGGTGTGAATTGTTCGTCGTAGGGGTGAAGCGACCACGAGCTCAACATCGGCGTGGTACGGAAACGTTGCTGCAAGTTCGCGGCATTGGCGCTCGCCATACAGTGTGAGCGATGGATCTGGAACGTTGTGGTTGCTATAAGACAGATTGTGCACACCTTGCGCGTGCCTAACACAATGAATGATACGCGCCACTATGCGCAGGACGATCGAATTAGTTTTTGCGCAATGTTGTTTTAATGGCGCGCACTCACTCGCACACCAAGACCGCGTGGTAGCAGAATTAATGCGACGAGGGCTGAGCGAGAGATGGTGTGCAGCTGCCTGATCGGTGGGCGAGTGTGCAGCGGGGCTGTGCTGGCCGCCCATATCATCTCAGCCGCACCGCGCGCACACCTGAGTGCTTTCCTTCACCTCAATCTCGCCGAAACAAATCACCTTCGAGTCTTGGTGCGTAGAATTTTCCAAATGGAGATTTCTGAGCCGCGTGCCAAACGTCGCAAAACCACTCCGCGTGCAGGTCATAGGCCAGTTACCAGAGCCAGCCTGGCACGCCCTCAGCAAGATGACTCCACACTACCCGCCTACACCTATCGATCTCTCAAGAAGGAAGATGAAATACGCATCTTCAAAGTCGAGAAGATAGGACCAAGCGAGTGGGAGTACAATATCGAACACACAACATTAGAGGATGCACCACCCTTCGAAACCGTCTCGTATGTCTGGGGTCCGGATACGCGGCGCAACATTCTACGTCTGCGAGATGATCGGACGATTCGCATCAACGACAACCTCGCCAAAGCCTTGCCTTATCTCTCGGCGGAATGCAAGACGGGATATCTGTGGATCGATCAAATCAACATCAATCAGTCTAGCACGCAGGAGCGCAATCATCAAGTCAAAATGATGGGTGATATCTACAAGAAGGGTGAAAGAGTCATAGCATGGTTGGGAATGGCCCCAAAACCTAGCAAAAGTTTACTTGCTCTCATCGAGGCAGCGCGCTCATCACTTGAACTGCGAGAGACCATATTCCTCACCAAAGAGAGGATCGAGAGCCACCTCCTCCACTGTTGTCACCAAGACCTCGTTGTAATTCTAAACCTTCTGGAAAGCGCTTGGTTCTCACGCGCGTGGGTCTTCCAGGAAATCGTGCTCTCAAAGCATGCGACTTTCCTTTCCGGAGGCATTGTTGTCCCTTTTTTGGTACTTGTGTGGATATCGAGAGTGTTATCTATTCCAGCAGTTATTCAGATTGCACCGTTCCGTCAGACTAGATCCTCAAAGCTGGCGCAGGGCTCATCGCAAGTCACTTCGTATCGTGACATCAATTCGACACGTGGCTACAAAACTCTTACGATAATGCATCGCAGCTGGCACACTATATCGCATGCCCTCGAAGACAAGTTTATGCCTTTCCTCTACACAATCTCAAAGGTCTCTCCAGTGCTGCAGACAACCGACCCCAGGGATTCTATATATGCATTCTTAGGCCTACAAACGCTAGTCGATGGTGCTGTACTCATCCAGGCAGATTACCGTTCTTCTTACGAAGAGGCGCTCATCAATACTGCGAACTCTGTCGTCCGATCCACGGGCTCTCTGGAAATACTAGCATATTGCGGACGAGAAGGAACACACCGGCTGTCATCCAGCAATCTGCCATCTTGGATCCCAGAATGGAAAGCACCAGTTTCGACACCGCTTCTTGTGATTAATTCAATAGGAACTCTTTACTTTAATCGCAGTCAACATGAGTGGGTCCAAACACCAAATCCATGTGAACTACTTGTAAGAGGTGTGCGTTTCGACACGATAACAAGATGCTTCACACCAGAATTTCGGTTTCGATCTACACACTGGTATGATGAGAACCTCGAAGATTACCTAGCGCTTGACCAACGCCTAGCATCCATACAAGAATACCAATCTTGCTGTGATCGTGAGCGTCTTCTAAATATTCTCTTGACGAGGAGTTATCTCCCTGACGTCAACGACATACGTTCCGAGCTCCGTGGAGCAGACTACACCAACAAGGCTCTCTTAGATGTCTACGACAGATATGCAGATCAGCTTGGGAGATCTCTTGTGGTGGAGGGAAGTCAAAGTCTGTCTGATTTACGGTATCTGACCTACCTCGTCAATACCAGACAGCTCTTCTTGACAGAGGGTGGCCACATTGGCCATGTCGGACAACCTTGTGATGGTGACATGATCTATACGTTGAAGGGATACCCACATCTTCTTACATTACGGCCTTGTGGAAACAATCGTTTCACTGTGATGGGAACCTGTCAAGTGGAGAGAAGGTTATGGGACAGTAACGCACCGAATGATTTCCTTGATGACTATTTAAAATCATTTTGGGAGGACAAAGAGGACGAAGAGCTCATATTAGTATGATGCTGAGAAAAAAGAGGGCTACCACTGCTTATACCAACGGTTTTGTACCCAGGACTACAATGTACAACTGCACTATCTTTCGTTCAATGCACAGACTAATCACACATAAATGTAACGCTAAAGCGTGATGTGTGCTCACTATAAGAGTTGGCGGTCATCTCTGAATTATCATGTCTGTTATTATATGGAGCCATTACATTAATCTCAGTCTACTCATTTCGTAAAATCCATCATTTTCGTCTCATCAATCACACATCATTGCTCTAGTAGTAGGTGTAAACAGGCGAAGCCGGCAGGGTGCCAAAGTCACCGGAGCCGAAGGGGCTGCTGGGAGAAACCTTTCCGCCATTGACATCAGAAACGCCGAACCAAGCAAGCTCACTGCACTTGCTGACAGTGATAACAGCGAATGCGGGCGCGGGCTGCGCGGTGTATCCCCAAGAGACTGTCAAGTCAGTACCGCATGACTGGTTGGACCAGCTCTCGGTAGCAGCGTTGGAGCCCGGCATGCGGATAACAGTGCAGTGCTCGGTCTTGCCATCCGCGGTGAAATCGAAGTTGTAGTCGCAACCCGAGTTTCCGTCGATGCAGTAGCGGCTTAGGTTCGAGACGGTCCACGTCTTGCCCTCAACGGGCTTGGGGCTGGAGTTTGGTGTTCCGGTTACCGCAGGGCAAGGTGCAGCAGTTGGCGTAGGGACTGCGGCGGGCTGGGACCCAGCGGATGGCGTAGGGCATGAGCCTGGGTGGGCAGGGTTGCAGCCTCCGGGAATGCCAGAGATGGATGAGAAAGTGGCAGCCGGAGCGGACGTTGGTGTAGGGCACGATCCGGGGTGAGCTGGGTTGCAGCCACCGGGGATGCCGGAGATAGATGAGAAGGCCGCCGCTGAGGTAGCTGTTGAGGTTGTCTTTGGGAGGAGGGCGATTTGAGATGAGCACCATTCGCGGATGCGCGCGGCGTCCTCACCGTAGCAAGCGGTCCGGTCGCATGAGCAGATGACTTCAGCAGTTCCTGCGGCGACGCATGAGTCGTAGGCGATTGTGCACTTATCCTCACGCATGCGAAGAGTGGGAGATGCTGATGCAGCGGATGCTAGGATCAACGCGATGGCGGCAGATTTGGCGAGCATGTTGGCGAGAATGTCTTTTGGGTATTGTGTTGTGTGTGTTGGGGAGATGCTGGTAGTTGTTCTTGGCTGTCGATGGATGATGAGAATGCAAACAATTGGAGATGCGGTGGCTGGACTATATATCTTTCATGTGCATGGCCACCACGATGTCATCCTGATTGTCGGTAGCAACGGAGTGTGACCGGATATACGGAGGAAGTACAGCTGATCACGTCCTTGCTTAGCCCTGGTGCCATGTTGTGGCTCTCGTGAGGCTCTCGGAGAGGCGATTCGGATCTCATTGGCTCGCAAGCGGGACTTCTACGACGTTCGGCTCTTGTTGCGCCGCAATACGAGGCTCAGTCGCATGATATGACGATATTGCGCTTAACACGAGCGACGTTTTCTGGTTAAGGGTCTTTTTCGATAGTTCGGATGCATCCCGGCGAGGCTTGATGGGCAGCTAACGACTAGCCGCTCCATTATTAGCAGCCAACTATAGAATAGCACCTGTCAATCGAGCTTGACGAAGCTTGAAAAGTAATCGCTTCGGCTGTCATCCGAGCAGCGGTGACAAAATAGGACGAAGTTGCAAGGTAAAACTACATTTGATGTTACTTTGGGGATGCACGTACTGTCTACCCGGGTAGTCCCATGTGCCGAATACGATGTGGCCGGAAGATTTGTGAGTTTGTGACGTGGTTTTCGGCTAGCCGATCGTCTCCATGAAAACAAATCCCCGCGTCCGGACA